ATATTGGATTAGGGCCCACCCTAATGACTTCATTTTAATTTAATTACCTCTTTAAAGCTTCACCTGCAAATACAGTCACATTCTGATGTACTGGGGGCCAGGACTTCAGCAAATGAATTTTGGGTGGTGACAATTCTGTAAATATTTAAGCATAAATCTAATAATAAATGTGCAAGATCTATGTAAAGAAAGCTTTAAAATGCTACCTAGAAAGAAGGAAAACCACCTGGAAGAACACCTAGGAAAATGGTTACAGTGACTACCTTCCAGGAGAACTGGAAGTTTGGGAACAGAAATGGGACATCCACTTATTTTTCACTGAATGAGTGCTTGTTCCTTTAAAAATTTAATTACAAGTATCACCACAAAAAATTAATTAAAAGTAACAAAAACAGTTTAAAGGAATCTTTTCCAGAAATCCTAAAATCAAGTTTCTAGAGTATTTACTTCAGTGGTCATATATCTCAATTTGTGGTGAGCAAAACTGGCATGAGATGAATCTGGAAAACATATTTGACCAAAAAAGACAGACTAAGAACAACCTTTCCCCTTTGGATCCCGCAACAACCAAACATATTTTCCACTGTAACCATAAACTATTTATCACATCCTACTTGTAAAGCCTGTTAGGTGTCCGTCAAGCCAGTTCATTAACTTACAAAGTCAGACAATTAAGTTCGTGAACTCACCCTAGAAAAAGTGCTACATACCTCACAGTTGAATATCGCTACAGTCACCTTCAAAGTACTCCCCTTGGGAAGCTATGTATGCACCAACACCAGTGCCTAGTCCACCCATCAAAGCAATTTTGGAAATCTCTGCAATGGCAATAAGAGCTGTTGTCGTATGACCCTTGATGTCCTGAATGTCATAAAAATGTCTTCCTTTCAATATTTCCTTTATCTTTGGGTAAAGAAAGAAGTCATTGGGGGCCGACCAAGTGGCACGTTGGTTAGGAGTTGGCTTGGGACGCCAGCTCTGGTTCGGATCCCACATATGAGGGCCAGTGACACTGCCCTTTACAGCTAAGATGGTGAACAACAGCCTGACCTGGAGCTGGGCTGCCATGAGTCACCAGAGACGGTGTAGGCTGCAGTGGGGCTGGTCGGCAGCAGGCATGAGCTTTTGTGAGCTGCCGTGAGCCACTGTGAGTGGCCATCCAAAGGCCAGCGAGTGACTGCCTCACCCAGGAAGAGCACAATGATAATATCAACATGGGTCAGTAAAGCAACATCTTCCACAACTAGACTGAAGAACCAAAGGACAACAACTTATCTGTTCCCCTCCCTCAACTCTCCAATAAAATCTTAAAAAAAAAAAAAAAAAANTGATTCTCTCAAAGAGCCCCTAGATGATACTTTGAAAACCTCTGGATTACAGTACCTCCTACTAAGGAATAGGACATAACTTTAAAAAACGAAGATCTGTCTACAGATATCGGTCTCCTCCCACTGGTCCATCAAGAGTAGCCTCAGATTCTGTACGCTCCAAAGATATTCCCTGACCAGGTCTCCACACTCCTCCACAACTCTTCATTAGCTGTTTTTCCTCTGTGCTCCCATATACAATTATCTATCATATCACCATATTCTATTGTGATAGTCTCATTATCCTGCTATCTGTCACTTGATTAAAGCTACCTTAAAGTAGAGGGTATCTATTATTTCTATACTCCAGAACCTAGCATATACATTTGGTGTAATTAAGTTTGGTGAATCAATGAATGAACTGTAAACTAGACATACCTCTCCCATCTGTTGTTCAATAATTTGATGTGCAATTTCTTCTATGGTTGCCATGATCTAATTGCAAAAATGTCCTGCCAAAAATAAAAAGATGCCTTTTCATAATTATACCCACAAAAACATATTTATTGAAGAATTTAGAAATGAAATTATATGACAGTTGGGATTTTCTTCCAGGTAATCCAGTTAGGTGGGCGGGAGTGAGAGGGAATAAATAAAACAAAATTGGCCAAGCACTGACAATTACTGAAGATTGATGAAGTTTATACAGGAGTTCAAACAATTATTCTCTCTGCTTTTATATATTTTGAAAATGCTAACTTAAAAAAACTACTCAACCAATTTTACTTTTCAAAGATACTGAAGCTTAAACAGGAGACCTCTGATACAGATCAGGAGTAGTTCAATAATTTAAACAAGGGCAATCCTAATCTCTAAACAAACACATCACTGTAGCCATTTAACACACTTTTATCAATATATTATAAAAACTGACAAAATAATTACATTCATTTGGAAGGATAGATTTCTCTAGAATTTTATGTCTGTTCTTCATTAGTGGCAATTTCTTATATAGTAAGGTTAATTTGAATTTAATGTGAAGCTGTCTCCAAATGGATTTGCATGCCTGTAAGATTAATGAGTTGACTGTGACTTTGCTTTTACTCTACGTGAGGTAGTCAGTACAAAATTTACTTCCGACTGTATAGATTGTCATAAATTCAATAATATTCTATAATTATAATTACATTAGTTACCAAATTATCTGAATTGTTTTCCCTTCTATTACTTTTATTAAAATTGCAATGCTTCAGTTAGTTATGATAAAAGCAATATTCAATATTTAGCTTGATTATTCAACTATCACTCACTAAGTTGAGAAACAGTGGCCTCAGTCTCTCTGGAACCGAGGAGAGAGGGCTGCTCCTGGGCCTGTGTGCTCTGGGCTCCTGGTGGCAGTGACAGCCCTGCCAACTTCTGGCCCATCTTCAGAGTCGTACTTCCCTTTTCTTGAAAGATAACACATGTTCGAAACTGAATAGCTGTCTTGGCCCATCCAGTAGAGTCCTGGAAGTATGAGAGCCTTCCTTCATTTCATCTCATCTGTGTCCCCTTCAGTTCAGGCTGGCGGCATTTTGGCTGGTATAAAATTCTCAAAAATCGTGTTGTCTCCCACGCAGTGCGCAGTGTTACAAGCCATCAGGCAAGCAGAGTCCTCTGCAGGTCTCTCCTGGATAACCCAGCTCTATTCCTGGCTTCTGCTGAGAGGGCTGATTGGATCCCTAAATCACATGCCCGTCATCTCTTCAGCAAATAGCTGTTGGGTCACTCCCTGGGCAGTCTCTCCAGAACATGCTTTCGCCTTTTTTTGCAATTATGGACAGCCTGAGTATTTTCCAAATCGTCAAGTTCTGAGTCTATATTTCTTAACAATTCCTTCCTTCAATTTATTGCTCTCCTCTCAACATTTTACTGTAAGCATCAAGGAGAAATCAGGCTGTATCCTCAACACTTTGCTTAGAAATCTCCTCAGATAAATATCCAAGTTCAGTACTTACAAGCTTTACAGGAAACACTAGAATACAACATGACTAGTCAAGTTCTTTGCTACTTTATAAGAAGGTTCTCCTCTCCTCCAGTTTCCAATAGCATGTTCCTCATTTCCATTTGAGACCTCATCAGAGGCACCTTTGATGTTCACATGTCTACCGACATTGTTTATGATGATGGTACATGTATCTCTCTAAGACAGCAGCTTTTCCACAGCTTTCTTTCTGAACCCTTCCCGAAATTGCCTTTGACATCCTTATTTTTACCAACAATTTCTTCAGGGCAATCCAGGCTTTTTCTAGCATGCATCTCAAAACTCTCCCAGCCTCTACCCATGTCCTCATTCCAAAATTTTAAGTTATCTGTTACAGCNCATGCTTTTCTTTCTTTTTTTTACTCCTAAATACTTAGTGTTTATTTCCTAAAAAACAAGGAATTCTTTTACATAAACAAGCACAATACAAAGATCACAAAATCAAAATCAGGAAATTAACATTGGTATAATATTATTATCTAATCTGCAGACCTTATTACATTTTTCCAATTATCCCATTAATGACCTTTATAGCAAAAGAAAACAAGTATTTTCTGGTCCAGGATCCAATCCAGCCACCCACTGCATTTAGTTGTTATGTCTCTTTAGTCTCCTTTAGTCTGAAGAAATCCTCAGTCTGTCTTTGTCTTTCATGACCTTGACATTTATGAAGAGACCTGGCCACTGATTGTGTAGAATGTGAATCTACATTTGGGTGACTCTGATGTTTTCTCATGATCAACCTCAGGAGATGCATTTTATGACATGCTTTTTAATTTTTTTCAAGTGTAAGACGAAAAGACGCTAGTTACTTACCTGGAGGTGTTGTGCAGACAGATCAGGAGTTGTAAAAAATAACTGGTTGACACCTGCTGCATCTGGAGTTGTGAGGAAAACTTTCCCTGGAGTGGAATCTTGCCTGGCCAGGATGACTTTGCTTGGAGTGGAGCCATCGTGATTTGTCAGAATGAACTGCTTGCCTTGTGTATTGTGATCAAGCGCTGTCACGATCTGGATTTTCTGGCCAGTTTGCTGCTCTGTAACAATCTAACACAATCATGTAAATTTTAATCAATTTAACTCAATTTTTTTTCCTCGAAGAACACTATTTTGCCATCCCTTCAGACAAAGCTAGAAAAGCATACCATCACATATATAATTGATATAATACACATACAAACATCTTTTCAACTGGCAATTCTACTTCCATTAAATCTTATCTTACAGAAATAAACACATGTGCAAATAAAGGTACAACAGTGAGACCATTTAGACCTCACTATTTTGATTCCTTCTTCCCCTTCCCTCCCACCTTCCATTTAGATAAACATATACACAGTATATTCTATTTGTGAAGCACTGTATATTCTTGGATAGAATAAACAAAACAAAATATTTGTTTTCATAAGGCCTTTATTTCAGTGAGAAAAGGCAGATAAAAACCAAATAAGCAAAAAATATTGTCAGGTGTACTGAGTGTTATAAAGAAAAATAAAGCAGGGTAAGGTGAGTCACCGATGAAATGAGAGCGATCAGGAGATAACATTTTTGCACAGACCTGAGTGAAGCAACAGACCAAGGCTTAGGACTAGCTAGGGGAAGTGCATCCCACAAAGAGGAAACAGAACATAAAAGGTCATGAGGCAGGAGAAGTGTGTTCTACACAGATAAGGCAAGAGGCACTGCAAGAGAGCTATGTGAGTGACACAAAGTGAAAGACAGGGTAGAGGATGGTATCTGAGTGAGGCTCCCAAGGCCACACAAAGTCTGGATTTCCTACTGTGTGAAATGGAGATACACTGGAGGGTTTACAGAGCAGAAGGATGCCAGGGTCTTTTTCAACAAGGAACATTCTGGATTTAGGGTGAAGACTAGGCTGTGAATGTTCAAGGGTAGAATTAAGGGAGACAAGGATGTTATTGCACAGATACTGGCAATATCTGGGTATCATATATGGGCAGAGATACTGGCTGAGTTGAACAGGGTAGTAGCCATTCTAGGGG